GGGGGGGGACGAGGATGGGAAGAACCAAGAGGGGGTTTGTGGTTGGCAGGACGGGAAGGAGACGGTGATGAAGGAGGTGTTCCCCGGGGACAGCGTGCACAGTCTGCTCAGCATCCTGGACGTCATCACGGTACCGACTGTCCCCAAGTGTCCCCCCCAACTCGTCCCCAATGTCCCCAAGCCCTCTCAGGACAGTTGTAGCTGTCCCCAAGCCTCCAGAGCTTGATCCTGGGTGTCCCTGAGCCACCTAAGCCTGGTTGTGGTTGTCCCCAAGCCCTCTCAGGACAGTTATGAACTGTCCCCAAGCTCCCTAAGCCTGGTTGTGGTTGTCCCCAACTCCCACCAGGACAGTTGTGGTTGTCTCCAAACCCTCCCAGGTCAGTTGTGGCCACCCCCAAGCCCAACTGTGGTGGTCCCCAAGCCCCTCCAGCCTCACCATGGCCATCCCCAAGCCCAACCATGACCATTCCCAAACCCAACCTTGGCCATCCCCAAACTCCTCCAGCCCAACCTTGACCATCCATCCCCAAACCCAGACCAGGACAGTTGTAGTTGTCCCCAAGCCCTCCCAGGACAGTTATGAACTGTCCCCAAGCACCCTAAGCCTGGTTGTAGTTGTCCCCAACCCCCACCAGGACAGTTGTGGTTGTCCCCAAGCCCCCTCAACGTGATCATGGCCGTCCCCAAACTCCCAGAGCCTGGTTGTGGCTGTCCCCAAACTCTTCTAGGACAGTTGTGGTTGTCCCCAAGCCCTCCTAGGACAGTTGTGGCTGTCCCCAAGCCCCCTCAATGTGATCATGGCCATCCCCAAACCCCCAGGCCTTGATTCTGGTTGTCCCCCAAGACCCCCCAAGCCTGGTTGTGGTTGTCCCCAACCCCCACCAGGACAGTTGTGGTTGTCCCCAAGCCCCCTCTCCAAACCCTCCCAGGTCAGTTGTGGCCACCCCCAAGCCCAACTGTGGTGGTCCCCAAGCCCCTCCAGCCTCACCATGGCCATCCCCAAGCCCAACCATGACCATTGATCATGGCCATCCCATCCCAACACCCCCAGAGCCTGGTTGTGGCTGTCCCCAAACTCGGTGTGTGCCCGGGCGGCGGTGGACTCCACCGTTCTTCGGCTGCCGGTTGAAGCCTTCTCGGCCGTCTTCGAGAAGTACCCCGAGAGCTTGGTGCGGGTGGTGCAGGTGAGTCCAGGCCTGGGGAGGGTTGGGGGGAGCACGGGGGGGGCGTCAGGGGACCCAGAGGACCATGGGGGAGGGGTGTGTTGGGTGTGATGGCTTCTTGTCCCCCCCGTAGATCATCATGGTGCGCCTCCAACGCGTCACCTTCTTGGCTTTGCACAACTACCTCGGGTTGACGAACGAGCTCTTCAGCCACGTGAGTTCCTGGTGGAAATTGGTGGAAATCGGGGAGGGGGGGACCAAACCCAGCCATGACCATCCCCAAGCCCCACCAGGCCAACTGTGGCCATCTCTAGGCCCTGTCAGTGGTCCCCAAACCCTTCCAACCCAACCATGGCCATCCCAACCCCCTCCAGGCCAACTGTGGTGGTCCCCAAGCCCCTCCAGCCTCACCATGGCCATCCCCAAGCCCAACCATGACCATTCCCAAACCCAACCTTGGCCATCCCCAAACTCCTCCAGCCCAACCTTGACCATCCATCCCCAAACCCAGCCATGACCATCCCCAAGCCCCACCAGGCCAACTGTGGGCATCCCTAACCTCCACCAGGCCAACTGTGGCCATCTCTAGGTCATCGGTCCCCAAACCCTTCTGACCCAACCATGGCCATCCCCAAACCCCTCCAGCCCAACCTTGGCTGTCCCCAAGCCCCACCAACTATCTCCAAGCCCAACCAGCCCAACCATGGCCATCCCCAAGCCCAACCATGGCCATCCCCAAACCCAACTGGCCAACAACTCAGTGCCCCCAGCAGACTTCACCATCCCCCAGCTTGCCACCAGCCCCCATCCATGGCCGGGATGGACCTCCCCCATCCCAGCAAGGCCACCAACGTGTCCCCTAGGGCCACCAGCGACCGTACCGGACGGTGTGTGCCCGGGCGGCGGTGGACTCCACCGTTCTTCGGCTGCCGGTTGAAGCCTTCTCGGCCGTCTTCGAGAAGTACCCCGAGAGCTTGGTGCGGGTGGTGCAGGTGAGTCCAGGCCTGGGGAGGGTTCTGTCAGTGGTCCCCAAACCCTTCCAACCCAACCATGGCCATCCCAACCCCCTCCAGGCCAACTGTGGTGGTCCCCAAGCCCCTCCAGCCTCACCATGGCCATCCCCAAGCCCAACCATGACCATTCCCAAACCCAACCTTGGCCATCCCCAAACTCCTCCAGCCCAACCTTGACCATCCATCCCCAAACCCAGCCATGACCATCCCCAAGCCCCACCAGGCCAACTGTGGCCCCAAACCCCCAGGCCTTGATCCTGGTTGTCCCCCAAGACCCCCTAAGCCTGGTTGTGGTTGTCCCCAACTCCCACCAGGACAGTTGTAGTTGTCCCCAAGCCCTCCCAGGACAGTTATGAACTGTCCCCAAGCACCCTAAGGGTTCCCGTTGCCTTGTGGTGGGTTCCCATTGCCTTGTGGTGGGTTCCTGTTGCCTCGTGGTGGCCTCTGTTGTCTCGTGGTGGGTTCCCGTTGCCTCGTGGGGGTCCCTGTTGTCTTATGGTAGGCCTTTGTGGCCTTGTGGTGGTCTCTCTTGACTCGTGAGGT